ATATAGATAGCACCCATACCTTAGGAGACGGCATAACACTGAATGTACTCATAATACGGTCGGGATATTCCTCGCGAATCTTCGAGATGAGGAGCGTTCCCATCCCGGAGCCGGTGCCGCCGCCCAGAGAGTGACACAACTGGAAGCCCTGGATGCAGTCGCAGCCCTCGGCCTCCTTGCGCACCACATCCATGACGCTATCCACCAGTTCCGCACCTTCCGTGTAGTGACCCTTCGCCCAGTTGTTACCGGCGCCCGACTGGCCGAACACGAAGTTGTCCGGACGGAAGAGGCGCCCGAACTGACTGCTCCTCACGGCGTCCATAGTGCCCGGCTCCAGGTCCAGGAGTATGGCCCGCGGCACGTATGTGTTGGCTGTACGGGTGGACAGACAGGTGGGGGACAAGAGTTAGTGACAACAGTTTGCAGCGATTCATGCGTTAAGTGTATTACACGACGACTCGTTGTAGTAGACGTTAATCCTCTCCAACTGCTGGATATTATTGCCGACATAATGACCGGTCATATCGATGCCATGCTCTTCGCTAATCACTTCCCAAAACTGGTCGCCATTCAGACAATGCAATCAAAACATAATTCATTAATAAGTGGTTATAATAGGGAAACAATAATTCAAACATAAAATAGCCGTTAAAACCCATAACTAGTGGTTAAGCCACTCGTGCCTTAATCTTGTAATTTTTAAGTGTGTATTAAAACTAACAAACTTTTGGTCACATAATTAATGCCTAAAACTCATGAATTAAATATACGTTTGAAAAAAGCGGTCAAAAAATGGGCAAAAAATGTATATAATTGGCGCCAAACCAAGCGATTGCTTGTATGAGTCATACAATGAAAGCCTATTGTAATGCAAAACCACACCTCATATGAGAAACATAGCCTCAAATTGTGTCTCATATTAACCACACGTTTGCAACAAACGCTTTCCACCGCTAATACAAACACTCATTACAAACACAAACCCACGGAAACACTAAACATAACCCAAAAAACAAACCCAAACCAAAAACATACCAAAAACCCCCCAAAATGAACCCAAAAGACCCAAATAAACACATTCGCAAACTGACCTGGGAGCCGATTTGGTTACCGCACTGACCGGCCTGGATGTGCACAATCTCGCGCATTGTGTAAGTGTTGGTGTACCGGCTCAAACAATTTGACGGCTATATTACAATTAAAACGGTGTTATGGCGTGAAGTGTAATGAACTCGTAATACGTTTAACAGACAAATGCCTTCACAAGTGATTTGAAAATGATTTTTCAAACACTCAAACGACTGAAACAAGTGTACGGTTTGGCCGCTGATAAGCAATTGGCGTACAAAACGCTGCATCCAATGGTAGGCCTATCACAGGCCGCCTATGCATACACTGTATTACTGTTAGGATAGCGCTGTTTATTCACACGTCTCTACATATGTTTTATTTACAGTTTTTGACTCATATACGCAACTATTTTACTATACAATATCTCTCTAACATTTAGTTATCATTACAAATACACATTCAGACCTTATTACCAGTGGTTACCAATGATTATTGCTATTGTATTAGTTTTTAAGTGCTATTACTTTGTAATATAACGACTAGAGTCTCGTACTGTACTTTGCTATCACTTCTCAAACATTACAACTTATTTTTAATGCTAACCAATAGTATGCGGAATATACTGTTGGATATAAAACTTGAATTCAATAACTTTCTTATAATACACTTTATTTTAACTATAAATAATTAAATAATGACTTAATCATATCTAACATTAAGCATTGAATCCTTTATTATTAATATTATATATGCTAATAATTAATTACTTTTATCCCACACCCTATATAATGTACACAATTAACAGAATATATAACTACTGTATTAATAGGTATATTCCGTGAGTAGACTGTAGTGTCGGAATACCTTTCACATTAAGAATTCTAAGAGATTATTAAAATAGTAATTAGTATTACATTGAATGCTAGAAGTATTTTATTATTAGTTTTATTTTTATTGTATTACTTTCGACACAATATCTGTGGAGTTGTTTAAATTCAATGACAAATCACCTTACTTGTTAGGTGTTTATTTATATGTCTAATGTATAAATAAGTTAGTCAACAATAAAAACAAAATATCTTTTTATAACTTGAAAATTACTAGACATTTATTTGCAGATATTTCCTCTTTCCATATATTAATTTGTTATTTCTATATCTATATAGGGTCATATATATTATGAATTAATTATCATTAATTGCATTACAGTATTATCTATTTATTGATTAATTCCACATTTAACGCTCCATATAGTGAACACAGAATTTAAATATTTGAATATATTATTATGCTCACTTATATAAACATGAATTACTATATTATTTGTTCAGCTTAGAAATAGCACACATTTAAAAAACATTAAAAATAATTTGTAACAGTAAACCTTTTATGGCAAAACACATTAAAAGTATATTAATATAATATGCAGTTTACATGTGTGACAAGAAGTTTGTTAAGTTTATTTTATACAATAGATAACTTATATTTTTACAATTTTATCCATATTAATACAGTATTAATAATACTAGTTTCGTATTTTTACTTTTATATAAACATAGGAATATTTTTAATTATTCCTTTTTATGACCAGGATACAACTGAATCTGTCATGAATTTATTACTCATAGATAGCACTACACGACTGCAAATAAATACAATACTGTAATTACTTTAAAGTTTAAAGTCTGATTAAACATGTACATTTATTTTTATATTTATTTATTTCTAAAATTCAAATTCTGAATTTATTTTTTTATTTTTATTTTTCTCATAAAAACAATATCTATTAATAATTATTTACATACAATAAAATCATAACACTATCGATTTTACTGTACTGTATTAAGATTATATAGAACATTTTATAAAGTTTATATTATAAACAATTAAATGCTATTATTTTAATTGGGAATTATTTAACTTATAATATACTTTAAAGTATTATCAGTAATTAACAATTAACTAATTTTTGTCAATGGGAGAAGTATTTATCAATGTTTTTAATTTTAATTGAAATCCAGATTATTATTATTGATCCAGATTAGAACTATTTGATGAAATGTTTATTGAAAAAATGTCATCAAATTTAACTTATGTATTACACGAGTCACGTAATAAGTACAATAAATTTATTAAATTTATATATTTTCGACAATCTGACAATTTTACCAATCGATTATGAATTGACATAGAAAATGGTGGGTTACCCAGGCATATTTTATTTACTTATATTTTACAGAATCATTTAAAATTTTGGAATAAATATTGAAATTAAATCTTAAATTAAAATACAGATATACCTAATGTGCTTAAATATTCTTAATAAACTAGGTAGCTTATTTATGTTGAAAAATTGTTTAAAAAAATTAATTAAACTTAAAATTCTATTCAAATCACTCATCCATCATATTTTAACATTTATTTAATATTAAGTTTAAAGCTGAATCTGTCACATAAAAAGGTAACAAGCATGTATTTTGTAGTGTATGTACAGCAGGTTAGTAAAATATAATTGTAACGTATGTCGAAATGTTAACAAATATTAAATTGAAGAGAGAGAGAGAGAGAGAGAGAGAGAGAGAGTTTAATCCAATAAAATGTAATGACATAGTTATTATCATAAAACAAAACACAAATACAATATATTTACCGGGTATATAAAATATAAGCAGTCAAGTTTTAAACATTTACAATCTTAGAAAGGAATTTATAATTTAACTTGGCACTAATTTTAATTTAAACTGAATTAAATATTGTAATAACTTATAATATTTCAAAATGAATTATTTATTGTGCTTGGGCATTGTAATTCTATGTGGGGTGAATATTTCGATATGTAGGCCAACCGTGGGCATCAGAATTGAAGTTTTAAATACTGATAACTCAAGCCTTTTAGTGACCCTCTCTCCAGATATAGTCGTCGGTAAAGAATCTGTGGTTAACGTGAGTGTGACCAAGGGTCATCAACTATTCTATAGCTATACAAATGCAACACTTCAACAAGGTACACATTTTAATATTGGAAATCCTTAATAACTTATATATATAATTTAATTATTTACAGGCGATCCCCCAGTATTTAAAAAGGCATATGGGGTCGAGAATATAATCACAAAGGGTTATACTATTAACCAATTTGTAATAAACAGATATACAATAGGGCTAGTACGGGGGTATATTGGTCAAATGTGTACTACACCAATAATGGATCACCTTGCATAAAATTCAAGACAAGTGGCTTCAACTTAACAGTGATTGAATCGCCCCTTCCCTTTCCTAAGTTGCGTACGTACTGAACAAACACAGTATTTATTACCATGCTTAGACATGTAATTTTGTTTCATGTGCACAGGAAGTGTCCAGCTCAAATCCTTGACAGACAACTTACCAATGGCAAGGATGTAGACTTAAATTGCTCATTTTCACTGCTCAACAAAAGTGATGCATTATTAACAGTACGACTATTCAAAGACGATGACCTATTCTATAGCACAGTCTATGGTATATATTTCAAAATTTAACCTAGGTCGTGGGTTTATTGTAACGCACATAAAAATGAATTTAATTTTTTAATTATACAGAACTGGTTCAAAAGATAAAGGGTGTTGAACAGTATAAAGCACCTGGGTTATTCCTAACAACAGTTAAAGATAAGTTAAAAGGTGTCCTCACCACCACTATTACCAATGTGCCTAAAGATACTGCCGGTACATATGGGTGTGAAGTGGAGTTCTATAACGGTACTAGGTGGTATATGAAATCTAGCCATGTCATCACATCCCTGTCCAATGCCTACCAACATTTGTTGTCATACGTGTTGGCGATTATGTGTTGTATTATGTTTGCAATCAATCACTAATTGATAACATTTAGCTAAACCACAAACTATTGTATGCATACAATGTGTGAATTAAGTCCAGATTTACAAGTGATTTACAATTTAATTGATATTAATACTAGTTTTGTATTTTTGCTTTTATATAAATATACAACTGTTTATGACCAAGGATACAACTGAGTCTGTCATGAATATTTACTGATAGATAACACTATATTACTTAAAATAAGGAATATATATTTTAGATATGATTGAACAATTACATTTATTTCTACAATTTATTTATTTTTTAAATTCAATTTAATAATTTAATTAATTTTTTGCTTATAAAAACAAATTTATTAATGATTAATTATAACAATAAAACTATTATACTATAGATTAAATTAAGATTACATAGAATATAAACAATTAAATGTTATTTATTAACTTTATTTACGAATTGATTATTTTAATCTGTACTTTAAAGTCTTATGTTCCTATCATCAGTATTTAACAATTAAGTAAATAAATATTTATCGTTGTCATTTTTAGTTTCAATTGAAATCCAGATAATTATTTATTTCAACTATTTGATGAAAAGTTTATTGTAAAAATGTCATTTAACTTATGTTTATTACATGGTTCACGTAATAAGTACAATAAATTTATATATTTTTCACACATCTGACAATTATATCAATTGATCACAAATTTTTATAGAAAAATTAGGGTTACCAAGGCACATTTGAGTAATTTACTTTATAGAATCATTTAGAATTTCTTAATAAAAAATATATTTAAATTGAAAATAAATTAAAAGATACCTTGTACAAATAATATATTATAATATTCCTAATAAACTAAATATTTATTTTATTTGGAAAAGTTATTTATTAAATAAATAATCAACCCAAAAATTATAGTTAAAACACTTATGTTTTATATAAATCCTTAATATTTATTAACACATAATCCAATCAAATATTATGGCATATCATGTCATAATAAACTGTTAGTATGGTACTTTTTATGGTTACCTAATAACACAATCTATAGACATTTTCAATTATGCTATTTATCGATGAATTATTCCATTTGTAAAAAGTATTCACTGATTTTCACTGATATTCACACAAATGAACCAATTAAACAATAGCTACTTATCTTAAAACAATACATTTACAGAGTATATAATAAATAATCAATTGATTTTTATACATTTTTTATATAGGAGGCCACTTTATAATTTCACACAACATAAATTTCATTTTATACTAAATTAAACATTGTATTATAATATAGCAACATGAATTATATATTGTGCTTGGGCATTGTAATGCTATGTGGTGCGAATGTATGTCGATCTGCAAACGTGAACATCACGATAGAAGTTATGAAAAAGGATAACTCTAGCGTTAAAGTCACCCTAACTCCAGGTATCATCACCAGCATCGAAACGTTAAGTAACGTAACTGTGACCAAGGATAAACAACCATTCTATAGCTACAAGCTAGGTAATCATAAGAAATTGTTAATAAAGTTAAGTATAATTTAATTTAATAATTTACAGGGGGTCAGCCAGTGTTTAATAGGACATATGGAGTCGAGAGTATAAATACGAGAGGTTATGATAAAAACACTTTTGAAATAAACAGACTGAATAGGACTAGTGCGGGAGTATACACCTTAACCGTATTCTATACCAGTAAAGGAAAACTTATATCTAATTCAAGTAACACAAAATTAATAGTGTCTGAGACACCCCTTCCTACCCCTAAATTGCGTAAGTATGGCATAAACACATTTATTCCTATACTTAAACAATGAATTTTCATGCACACAGGAAGTGCCATGATCAAATTCTCGACAGACAAAGTGACAAAGGGCAAGGATGTAAACTTAAATTGCTCATTTACCCTCCAGAAAGGGTCTGACTCACTTAATTCAGTGCGACTATACAAAGACAATGGCTTATTCTATAGCACAGACTACGGTATATTATAAATCTGTTTGTCTTTTTCAAACATTTTTAGCTCATTTAATGTGAATTTAATTTATTAATTATATAGAGGAGTATAAACCTATAAGAGGTGTTGAGAAGTATAAGCAACCAGATTTAAAACTATTTGACGGCACTAAATTAACTGGTGCCCTCACCACCACTATTCAGAATGTGACCAAGGATACAGCCGGTAAATATAAGTGTGAAGTGGAGTTCTATAATGGTACTAGGTGGCTCATGCAAGTTGAGTCATCCCTGTCCAATGCCTACCAACACTTGTTGTCATACGTGTTGGCGATTATGTGTAGTATTGGGTTTGCAATCAATCACTAATTGATAACATTTAGCTAAACCACAAACTATTGTATGCATACAAGTGTGTGAATTGAGTCCGGTTTCACATATTTGCGATAAGTTTTAATCAACTATTTTTAATATTTCTTAACAATAATTGTATTTTATTAATACAGTATATATGCAATAAATGTTTTTAATCTGTAATTCTAAGATTAAATTGTAATATTAATTAATTTGTAATAAATTATTTTCTAAACTAAAATATAATATTTTTAATTAAAAATATCTATTTTAAAGTACTGGTAATGTAATGTCTATATTTTAAAACAATTATTTTGTTATTTTGAATGTACAATTGTAAATTGTATAATAATAGTTTTTTTGTGTTGATACTGTACTAGTACATGATCTATATTTAATCTACGATTGCATAATAATTTCAATTATTAAAGACATAAAATAAAACATTTTTATATGTTTTGTCTAGTATTTCAATCAAACAATAATATAAAATTTATATTATAAATATAAAAATGTATTGATTGATTAATTGTAACCCTGCCAAATATTAGTTTAAAAACCAATTGTATAGAAATGGATAACACTTTGAGAAAGTTTGAGAAGTGGTTGTTATATAGAAATTAATATCTTTGAGCTATGCTATTTAATTATTTAAGTGTTTATTTATTTTTAGCTAGCTAAATACCCATATTACTTGTACTAAATTTTAAGTTATATTTGTTTAATATAAAAATATAAGTAAAGAGGTTTCATTCATAGAAATCTATTTTATTGAAAATGAAATATTTATTGAAAAGGTGTTGACTATTTGCCAATATAATGCAAATTGATAGACAAAGTATAGCACATATTTTATTATCATTTGGACAAAACTATTTATTGAAAAAGTTTATTAGAAAGTTGTCACCAAAACATAACAAAAACTGTTGTCGGATGATTGAGTAAAAAATTTGTCTAGCTATTAAAACCACATTTGTTATAATTATTTTGACTTTGATAAATGAAAGTATAATTCTCATTGACTATTATTAATATTAATAATTTGAGGCAAATGTGAAACACTTTTATTATTTATAATTAAAATATACTAACCCTACAAAATTACTATGAAAAATTATTATATTAATATAATTTTAATTATTATATTATTCTCATTAAAATTGTATTCAACAAGTGATGTCTCATTTACACATAAACCTTATGTGAATGGCTCTAATACCTTGATCAATTGCACGGCTAAATTAAACCCATACAATGAGTATTTCTACAGCTTAAATATAAGCAAGGACGGACAGGTATTTTACAGATACGACAATCGCACTAAAAACCGTAAGTTAACCTTGTATAATTAAAAATATTAGCCAGCAATAATCATAATTTCCATATTAAATATTAATTGTATCAACACTAGTGCCTATCTTTAAGCAAATACCCGGTATAAATAAAATCGTGAGTTTGTCTCCGGGTATTTTCATAATCAACAATATAAACAAGACAACTGCCGGTCACTACGTGTGCACCGTTTACTACAACAACAACCGGTCCTTCAGTTCCCGTGATTTCAATATACGTATTCATGTGAATACAGTCACATTTTTGAGCCAGTCAAGTGACCCGGGTAAATATGACCAACACGTCCATAAGATGTATTTACACAGACATGAGGCGCGACCCATGAAGCGGAGAAGTACCCCGGGTTAGTATACAGTAGTCTTTGAACTTTGATAATTAAACAATTTAATGTCACAGAGAATGTAACCCTCGCTATAACTCCTCATAAAATCACGAAGGGAAGGGATGTAAAGCTGAGGTGTGGTTACCATTTGGTGCCAATTAATGATGCGTTTATTGATATTAGACTTTACAAACACAATCAACTATTCCTCAGACAAATCAATGCAACGAACTGTAAGTTTCAGTCAAATATTCAGGAGTGAGAGAGAAAGTGAATGAGAGAGTGAATGTGAGTG